TCAATCTGCACGGGGAACTGTTCCAATACCGTGGCAGAGGCAACATCATCGAAACCTCTGCTCGTGAAAACCTCCCCACAAACGCATGGGACCGTCTCACAGCGTACTGGGTGGTTCCGTGAGCCTAGGGCCGCCAGGGACGCGAACGCCGGCAAGAGCAATCCGGCAGTCAAAGGGAGACCATGACTGCGAAACTTTCTGGAGCCTCGTGGCACATTCCCGAAGTTCCTGCTGGACCTGAGGATACTGGTGAACTTGAACGGCTTCCTGGATATGGTTTTGTTGCTTTCGTGCGCCTCGGAGAAGAGGAATTAGATAGCCCCGTGAACTCAGGAACCTGGAGTGCGACAGTCGTCGAGGCAAGATGTATCACCAGGTGGCCCCCGGCATGGACATGGCACGCCCGAAGGCGCTCCGCGAGGCGAGCGTCCTACCCCGAAAAACTGCACGGGCAGCGCTCCTGATGGCCAGATCATATTTCGCGGGCGGCGGCTTCTGACGACGAGATACGCTGCTGTCCCGAGCACGACGCGCACCTTCCATCACTAGCGGTTTGCCGTAGCGGCGTTGCTCCCACGGTTCGAGGTCATCAGTCGGAGCAGCCTTGACGGCCAAGCTCATGAAGCGCTCGAGATTGTCAATCTCGAAGAGCTGCTCGGGGACGGGGTCGCTGTCCTCTCGGCGGAGGTCCTCGTACCTTTTTAAGAAAACTGCGACTGCACTGTGGTCGGAAATAAGCCTGGGCTGGAGAGCTCCGGGCGGTGCAACGCCTCGCATCCGGTAGCGAACTGGGCCGTGAACCAATCAAGGGTCGAACGGAAATCCAGATCGATGTACAAGCATTATGTTACAATGATGGTAAAGGGTTGGGTCCTCGACTTGGCATTCCGCGAACTGTCCTAGCAGTTCTCGCCAGACAGGTGGCGCAAAGGGAATAGGAGGGGGATCAGGTCCACAAGCAGAAAGCCGGTGGTGGGGACAGCTGCCAAGGCTACCAGCCAGAGATATATCGAGACGACACGAGCCGAGTACCATGCGCTTATCTGGAGCAGGGGTACTCTCATTGTGAATGCTGTACTGTGAGATCCAGTCTGTGTTATCGGCGTTCGCGGGCTGAGCATTCAGTCCCCGACCAGGAACGAGAGAGAGAGAGAGAGGGAGGAGACGACGGGGCGATCCACGCCGCAGCCAGCCAGGCGACGCCCGCACATTTGTGAAGCGGTTCACCACTCCACCAGTCCTGCGCGACAGGCAGGGGCAGCAGGAGGAGGCGGAGAAGCCCTCCGTGGAGCCGGCGGGGCACGTCGCCGCGCGCGCCTCCCGCGCGGCGGCGGCAGCGCCCCCCCCTGCGGCAGCCTGCCGAGGCGGCGCCGCCGCCGCAGGCGAGCTTCCGCCCGACGCTGCTGCAGGGAGCCCGCGCACTCCACGTCGGGACTCGGCGAGGCACTGCTCGCGCGCGGCGCCCGCTCCAGAGCACGCGCGGCGGGCGGCAGGCTCCGCTTGCGGTCCTCCTCCGCCCCGCGCGAGGGGCGCGCCGTGGTCTTCTGCGGCGCCAGCGCGCCGCGGGCGAGAGGCCCTCGCCGGGGGCGTCGGCAGGGGCCCGGCGGATGGCGGCACCCTCGTCGCCCTCCCGGGGCTCCACCTGCAGGAGCGGCCTCGAGGTGATGGGCGCCGTGCCTTCTGATCCGATCAGTAAGCACGTTCTTCCCGGGGCACTCCTGCTCGAGCATGCGCTCGGTGCCCAAGGCCGCCTGCTCGGTCTTGATTTGCGTCGCGCTCGTTGTCGGGCCTCCCGAAACAAGCTCGGAGGAGGCTTCGGAGAGGACATGTCCAAGCTGACCAGGCCGCGAAAGCAGGGGTCCACCTTCATGCGGCCGCTGCGGCCAAGCAGATTCAAGAGCTTGACAAAGTGCTGCTGGTAGCCTTGTGGATGCGACGACCATGGACACCCTAACAGTCCAATCATTGAATTTAGAATGTGTTTAAAATGTAGGAAACATGTTCTAAGCATGTTTTAAACATGTTGTTTACATGTCTCAAACATGTTTAACACATGTTTTAGACATCTGGAAATTATTTGGCAGCCTGCTTCCTCTCCATTAGTCGACGTCCACAATGATAGCCAGCACTGTCTGCAAGTTGGCCGCTGCCCTTTTTTTTCGTTTGCCACGGCTCGATTTGAAGGATGTCGAGCATGATCCAGACGGGCGGACCCGTCGAGGGCACCCTGGCCGCACCCAGCATTCTCCTGGGAATTCCAAGCGAACCGCTGGCGTGGCAGTATCCATCTCGAGGCCTCTCGGTCTCAACTCCGCCCCCCCGACGTGTCAGGAGGCAACTGCTGGGAGGCTTTCGTCGGAAAGAGTAAAGAGGAGTAAGCCACATTTGGAAACTGTTATGCCGGAGTGGGTCTCGGATCAAGCGGGACTAAGCCGGATCAAGCGGGATTGAGCCGGATTAAGCGGGATATTAAGCCGGATTGAGCCGGATTTCGGATCAG